CAGCTTCCTTTATTAAAAACAGAGAGAGTAAACATGCTATAGCAGCACAAAGGAATGGCCTTCTCTGTGGTCATTTCAGGATCAGAGGTTTACAATTCACAGTAGAAACTAAAAAGGCTATAAATGCATGCCCTCTGCTCCCTGCTCATCATCCTACCAACAGAAAAGAACAATCCCCAGGACTCACTTGGCTCCTTCCAATGAAGAGATGAGACTCTGCCCAAAGCTACACGAACCTAAGATGGGCAGACATGTGGCAACTGGCCACATGGTCATTCCTCACCAGTGATGTTACAGTCCTCATCATGGGACATTCTCTTTCGTCTCCCCTGAGAAAAGGAGACTGGAATCCAAGATCCCTCAGTCTTGGGGACTCAGATGCCTGGTCCCCCATCAAATCATCCACCCAGTGAGATGGGGAAGACTCACAGCCACAGATAGGCAGCTAACTAAGCTAACTTAGTTGTCTAGTCCCCCATGCCAGCTCCTGGTGGAAGCAAGTACCACCAGGAGCTGGCATGGGGGACTAGACAACTAAGTCCGGCTGGCTGAGCCACTCCAAAGCTCTTTGATTCTGAGTTTATTCCTTCTCTTCCCTGGGCCTTTAAATGTGTGTGTGTGTGTGTGTGTGTGTGTGTGTGTGTGTGTGTGTGAGATGGTAGTGAGAGTCTGGACCAGACATTTTGGGACTATAACCAATCCTTCTCCACCCACCCACCCCTACCAGCTGGGTGCCAAATGTAGTGAATCATAGCATGACCCAGTGGCTTAAAGTGGACTTTGGATTCATACAAACCTGGATTCAAATCCCGGTTATACCCCTTAACTTCTCTAAGCTATAGTTCTAACCTGTATAAAAAAGAGTAAGGAGAATGCAATAAAAAAGTGTCTGCAAGTATTAGCACAGTCATTAACAGCGCAGAGCCAGGCTGGAAGTTCCACAGCACCATGTTGGCCCTGAAGGTATCCTGACCCACAGTGCTCTGCCAACAGAGGAGGCAATTTATACAAAGAAATCTGAAATAGAGGAATTAAACTCATAGTTCAATCGGCAACCCTGGACAAGAGCGCCAACTGGAACCATCTCGGGGAGCCTACTCATAATTTTGTAATAAATTAGTGAAGAAATAAGTATAGGCTATCATCTTTTATCCTTGTCATAAGGAATTTTATTAAAAGAAATAATCTAAAAATGGAACTGATAATGGTTGAAACTTCACATTAAACAATTTGAAATATATATATATATATATATATATATATATATATATATATATATATATATATCAAGGAAGTGAGACAAAGAGAGATTAAATTGTCTTGATAAAATTTCAATCTGCAAATATTTGTCCAGGAAAATTGGATTTGCCAGAAACACTGGTCACAAAAGAACATTGACAATGGCAGAAGTTATAATAGATACAATTTGATTGATGTGTTAAATCCTTTCTGTACAATTTACAGAAAATAGGATTAAATTCTTTGTAATAATTTTAGTAAAATAAAAAGTATTAGAAATAAATTTGCTAGTCAGGATGGGAAACTGATCAAGGAATCCCAAGAGCTTAATGAAATTCATTTCAGAAAATTCACTACCTCTGCATTCATAAATACCAACTCCAAGATATCAGGGTCAAAGCATCCATGTGAATGGCCCAGCCCAGCACCCACTTGAGGGCAGTATCCTGGGCCCGGTGATGCTGAGGCAAGTACATAAAGCTGACCTGGTAGATTCTGCTCTAACTCCAGAGCCTACCACTCAAGATATCCATATCTGGATCCATCCATGGTTCTAGCATCCCTATCCACCATCCATGAGCATCACCCACTTTTCCAGCCATCCCTCTCACTTGTTCCCCACCCTTGAGTCCAACTGATCCAACTGGATGACCTTCGGCTTTGACTTCTTCACTCACAGCATCCCCCTTGCCTGGCAGATCTTCCCATGCCCCACTTTCTTCCTCCCCTTGTCCAGATACTCCTCATTGCCTCCTGTGGCCTCCAGCCTTCTACAGTCCAGACCTTGCCCTTCTTTACAAGCTTCTCCTTTCAAAGTTACTAATGACCTCTGTGCTGTCAAACTAAATGGAAACACTGCCTTCTGTGCCTGTCATCTCCTGGTAACCGGTGTCTTCCTAAATTTCCGAAGCCTTTAGGCAATGCAGCTCATTTAGGCCAAGAGTAAGTCCCAGAAAGGGATCCAGTTGTGAACCATGATCAATGTATACCCAGGCCAGCTGGGGGAACAAGTCCTCTATCCTCAGGGAAGATCTCTAGGCAGTACTCACCACATGCCCCAAACTGCAGACCTGAAACCAAACTCATTGGGACCTAACCATTCCACTCCAAAATTCTTCCTGCTTGTCACTACCCTAGTTAAGTTCTAATCACCTCCTGACCAGATGGATGTGCCAACTTCCCTGTTGGTTGACTTGACCTACCCCAGGTCATCCCTCACACAGTTTGCAGCTACCTGGCTTTTGAAAAATGGGTCATATTATTGTCGCTCCATAGAAGGAGGGAAGTGAGGAGAGAAAGAAAAACAGAAGGGAGGGAAGAAGTACAAAGAACCTCTAGTGTCTTGGATCAGATTCTAATGCCTTGGTTTGCATGGTGTTGGCCAAGTGACAGCTCAAAGACAGCTCTTGAGTTATATCCCCTTATAGTTCTTGCTTTATCCAGACTCCCCCATAGATAAAATTCAACATAACCTCCAGCTGTGTATATAACCAGTTAGCCAATCCCAAAAGACCAAATGCCAAATGTTTTCTTTAATATAAGGAGGCTGATTCATAGTGGGATAGGAAGGAGGAGCATGAGAGGAACAGATGAACTCTAGATAGGGCAGAGGGGTGGGAGGGGAAGGGAAGGGTCAAGGGGTAATTAATGATGGTGGAATGTGATGATCATTATTATCCAAAGTACAGGTATGAAGACATGAATTGGTGTGAATATACTATGTATACAACCAGAGATATGAAAAATTGTACTATATATGTAATAAGAATTGTAATGCAGGGCTGGGATTGTGGCTCAGTGATAGAGCACTCGCCTAGCACAGGTGGGACCCAGGTTCGATCCCCAGCACCACATAAAAATAAAGGCATTGTATTGTGTCCATCTACACCTAAAAAGTAAATATCTAAAAAAAAAAAAAGAATTGTAATGCATTTCATGGTTATATATAAATTTAAAAATAGATAAACAAAAAAAAGAAAGAAAAAAAATAATAAAGTAGAAACACTGCAGCATGTATAGGCTAATAAGATTCTAACCTCATGCCACCAAGAAAAAAAAAATATGGCCAGTTACCCACCATGAACAAAGGAAAGCTGAGCAGCCACCATTCCTGGAGAGACTCTATTAATCCACATTTGCAGCTGGAAGAACTGGGATGCAGATAAAGAGCATAGGAAAAACTGCCAAAATTCCTGCCCCGTACATGTCCCAAAATAGGTTGTCAAATTTTCCCAGTACTTCAGCCTTTAGGAAATATTTTGTATCTTCAGTGTTTGGAATCTGCTCAAACTTGCCAAAATAGGAAGGTTTCTGTGTCAGTTTCCTGTTGATGCTATAACAAATTATTCCCAACTCAGTGGCTTAAACACAAATGTATTCTCTCAACAGTCTTAAGTTCGGTTTCTGAAATGAGTCTTACTGAGCTAAAATCAAGGTGTTAGCAGGACTGGTTCCTGCTGAAGGCTCCAGAGAAGAGCCAGGTTTCTTGCCTCTTTCAACTTCTTCTTTTTTTAATTTATTATTATTTTTTAGTTGTAGGTGGACACAATATCTTTATTTATTTATATGTGGTGCTGAGGATCAAACCCAGGGCCTCACACATGCTAGGCCAGTGCTCTACCACTGAGCCACAACCCCAGCCCCTCTTTTGACTTCCTAAGTCTCCTTATATTCTTTGCTCAATGGCCCCTTCGTCCATCTTCAATGCCAGCAGCATAGCCACTTCTTTCCAGCTCTGCTCCCCTCCATTCCATGATCACCTGGCCTTCTTCCCTCTCGTCCTTCCTGACCCTTTGTGATTACATCAGGCCTATCCAAGCAACATATGATTATCTCCCCATGTCAAAATCCCTAATCACATCTGCAAAGTCCCCTTTAGAATGTAAGGTGGCATGTTCACAGGTTCTGGCGATTAGAACAGGGACATCTTTGGAGGTCATTATTCATCCTTCCATGTTCTCTGAGAAAGATGTTTGCCGATGCCTGAGGCTAAATCCCTGATCTCTAAACCTCAACCTCTTAAGGCTTTTCTCTGAATGGTAGACTATGATCACTTGCTCTTCATTTCCTCCTTCGCCACGGTAGGTAGAGAACACTGCCCTGCCCCCATGGTATTGGGCTTGGCATGTGACTCATTTTGCTCAATTGAAGGTTAGCAGAAGTGACATGAGCAGTGGTCTTACATATGTGTAAGTAGTTCAGCTTGGCTCCCACGCTCATAATCCACTAAGGGAAGAGCTCGGGCTGGCTGGCTGAGTCCCTTGAGCCAGGACCCCATGAAGAAACACAAATGGAATAGACCTGAATCCAACTTGTAGCTTGGGGTGCTCCCAAGTGCAATGTATATGAACTAAATCACATTCAACCTGAAGATTTATTTTGTTTAACTCTGTATATTTAAGATATTTTCATTTCAATGTAGGTGCAACATAAAAATGTAACATGAGATATTTTACGTTCATTTTTTTTCCACATTAAGTCTTCAAAATCTAGTGCATGCTTTATACACACAGTGCATCTCAGATTAAACTTGCCACATATTGGTGCTCAACATCCTAGTGGATGGTGGCTGAAGTGTTAGTAGAGGTATTGACCCTTGCTTTAGAATGTGGGGTACTTTACAGCTAAGACTTTCCCATCCACTTTGCAGGTCTTAGCTAACATCTGAGAAAACAAGAAGAGTCTGACATTATGTTATAAACATTTGCTGAGCAAACTGAGCTCAATGGTGCTACCCTGAGGGAACACACAGAACTGGGGGCGGGGGGGGGTTGGAGGTGCCCAGAGCTGTCTCTCAGAGGGATGCATTCAAGGAACTGCAAAACACAGATCTTGGAGAGTGAGGCAGAGACATCCATGGAGCTAGGTGATTCAGGGACATGTCATTTGCATGAGTTTCACATAAATTTGAATGCTGAAGTCAAGAGGTGGTTACTTCACATACTGTACAATGTAAAATAAGGCTAACTAATTTGTACAGCCTACAAGGATTTCAAATCCAAGGACTTGACACATCTGTAAGACAGTCAAATCTCACTGCTATGGAACAAGGGCAGCCTGGAGCCCTGACAGAGTTAGTGAAATGGCTCATTATGCATACTGTATGCACACATTATTAATGTACAGTTTGGTTATGCTGGGTCAAGGGAGGTAATATTTGGTTTTATTTCCTTTGATTATGAATAAAAATAATAGTAGCAAATATTATATGCTTCCCACGTACCAGGCCCTGCACTCAATCCTGTATATAGATTATTTGACTTCATCCTTACAATCCATCCATTGAGGAATATACAGATACAGCAACCAAGATTCAAAAATTTTAACCCAGGCAGGTTGAGAATCTATGCATCACCAAGTTCACTGATTTTTTTTTGTTATACTTAATCTTATCATCAATAATCAAAAACTATTTTTAAAAAATGTCTCACTTACCAAATCAAGGAAAATATATAAAATACCCCTAGAATAAACATAAGAAAAAAATGTGGCAGGACTTAAACAAATAAAACAACCAAATTTACTCCAGGATGTAAAAGAAGATTTAAATCCTTGTCCCTGAACAAAAAAGAATCAATACTCTTTTCCCTTAGTAAAAGTAAAGATGTTATTTCTCCCCAAAATAATTATAAATTCAATGCATATTCAGTGAAAATCCCAAGAGATATTTGCAACATATGTCTATGAGTAATTGATATTCTTAGTAAATAAAAAGCCCTTACAAGTCAATAAGGAAAAGACAAATGCTCTGAATTAGTGATCTCTTGCGGCATAACAATTCACCCCAAAATTTAGCAGCCTGAGATACAGTACACATGTATGATCTCACACAGTTTTAAGGCTCAAAATCTGGGGAGGAACTTAGCTGGGTGGCTCTGGCTTCCATCTCCCATGAGGCAGAAGCTAGGTGTCAGGCCGGGTATGTGTCACCTACAGGCAGGAGAGGATGGTTGTCTGTTGATAGGAGTCCTCAGTCCTTCTCCACAAGCTCACGGTTCTACATAATGCTGCTCACAATATGGGAGTTGTCTTCCCCCAGAGTAAATGATTCCAAAGAGTAGAGACTGCAATGCTGCCTTTTATGGACAGGAGTCAGAAGTTCCACATCATTGTTTTCCGCCAGACTCTGTCCCTAAGAAGTGAAGATCTAAGGCCTTCAAGCCATGTTCTCAGGGGTGGGAATTCACCTCCACCTGTTGAAAGGAAGAATGTCAAAGAATGTATAGGCATGTTTTAAAGCCATATTCTAATAGAAAAATGAACAAACGCTGTAAACAGGAAATTCAGAAAAGACTAATAAAAAATATGAAAAATTCTAAGCTGGTTAAGCCCCAAAGAGATGTAAAGTAAGCAAGCATCTGCAACCAGAGTGGCAAAGACTGAAAAAAAAAAAATGACAATATTTAGTGTTGGTGATGGTGTGGAAAACAGGCCCTCCTAAACACACATGGTAGGAGCATGAACTAGCACACCCTTTCCAGAGAAATGTGACAGTTCATATCAACAACCTCAACAGTGTTTCCACACTGAGAACTTATCCTAACAAAAGAACCAGGAATGTGCTCAAAGACTTACCTATGCAACTATTTATTGTAGCGATGCTTATCATAGAGAAAATTCATTAATGACCTGAAAGCCCAACAGCAGGGTCTAGTAATATGTAACACACAAAGGCAGCACCTTTCAAGTATACAAAAAAAAATTATAACATACAAAACAATCCTATTCCCATAATTCTCAAATTGTATGCCAAGGTGCCCCAAGATGTTAAGGAAATTCATTCCATGCCACAGGATATTTTAAATTTTGGAAGGAGACACAGTGCTAGCTACTTCACATGGTTGGATGCCACATGAACTGCCAGTTTGAGTTGATAGTATCAACACTAGATGAATCTATATTCTTTTGTAGATGAGATGAGTGATAATTTTTGTATTTCCCATTATGGTTCTCTATTTAAAAGGATGGCAGAAAAAATAACGTTAGGTGCCAAGATGCATTTTGTATTTGGCTGCTGTGGAAAAGCCAGACAGTCTAAGCATTTTTTTCTCCAATTCCCCGCTTCATCCCCACCCTAGCTTCCCTGGACTTTGCAGAAAGTCTGTAGAGACAGTAAGAGAGAGGGGCCATTCCCAGTAACTGCATGGGGCTGGCAGGGGGCAGGCTGCCCTGAGAGTAGCAGCCCTATCATGGCTGCATCCCAAGGAAGCACCAGACCCTCAGGGAGATCAGACCAGGGACACCAGAATGGCTGGCTTTCACTGTAAGTCCTTTGAGGGGTGAATGGAAGCCACAGACTCACTGGATGTCCAGGGGCCATGGAGGTCAACATCCTGGGGTTCTGATCCTCCCAGGCTCACCAGAATTGTGCAGTTCTTGGGAAGGGGCAGAGCCTTGCTTCCCAGGAATCGCTGACTAGCCAGTGACTTTCTCCTGGTCTCCACTGTCTGCTGTCTCTACACCATCATGCAGGAACATGAGACCCTAATGCTGCAGTCCCATCTCCACAGAGGTACCACATCTGGGACTTGTCACATGCCTCCAGGTTCCTAGACAGGGCAATTTCCATTTAGGAATGCTGGGGGAGCTGGGTGTGGTGGCATGTACCTGTAATCCCAGCAATTTGGAGGAGGCTGAGGCAAGAGGATTGCAAGTTCAAGGCCAGTTTCTACGACTTGGCAAGACCCTAAGCAACTTGGTGATACCCTGCCTCAAAAGAAAAACTGAAAAAGGGATGGGGATGTGGCTCAGTGGTTAAGCATCCCTGGGCTCAATCCCTAGTACCAAAAAAAAAAAAAAGATTAAATTTAGGGAAAGCTCTCTGCCTCTGCTTACTCTAAAATCCCATTCTATATGATGGCTTGTGCTGTTAAAAAAAAGCCAACAAGTCAAGCAGGGACTTCTGCTTACAGCCCAGCCATGCAGTCCCACCGAGGCACCCAAGTTCCAAGCCTGCTGCCTGATAGGATGGGAAGAAGATAGAAAGAGCAAATCTGGGGGTGGGGGGAGACTATCAGAATATAATTCAACCCACAGGCAATATTTGCTCAGACATGATGGCTTGATATGTTAGCACACCAGAGGAACAGTGAGTGTATTTCATCCACTGACCTTCAGATTCAAGTCACACCATAAAACAGAACAGCGTGGCCGGCTCCAGGGAGAGGGATGTGGAGAAATGACCTTCAGGCCCAGCATGGCGGGAACTCCTTGCACATGGGCTTCATGCCATTAGAGCTGAGCCATAATTGATCGCTGCAGCAAATCGATGTGAGTGAGGTCCTTTCCCAAGCTCTGTACAAACCGACTTCATAATGAAATATGAGCTTGTGAAGTTTCTCATTTTGTACTATTCTGACATTTCTTGCAATGTGATTAAAATATAATAAGATCAAATAGAAAATACTATTTGCTCAATCACCTCCAAACCTAACACAGTCAATAGTCCAATTCCATCCAGGAAGAAGTCATTTCCAAGACTCCATAAAGAAGCCCACATTTAAATTTCATGTTCTCTGCTGTTACTGTGAAAAATTACATGTTTTAAATATAGGACAAATACAGGGCAAGCCAATTCTTGTTATAATAAATTTTATTTCAACATTCTTGGTAAATAAAAAATCTTCAAGACCCAGCCAATGAATGTCTGCTTCAAGGTTCATTCAATAATACATAATTCCATTCCAAATAATGATTTGCTCAATTCCTTTGAAGTCTAATTCAAGCCCCATTTCCCCTGAGAAAGCCTGGACCCCAACAATTGTTTCCTTCTTCCATCTTCTGAAAACACACACAGCCTGAAATTGTGTTCTGGCTGTTAGTTATGCGTCCCTTCTCTTCCCAGCTTGATGGGGCAGCTCCTCAAGGTCAAAGGACACTTACTTTTCTTTAACATCATCCGGCAAGCTGGATTCTTGGGTACCCGGCCAATGTTAGTCAGGCTGCTGGTGCTTGACAGCTATTTACTGATTGAAAGAGCCCATAACGATGGCATTTAACCCATGGCAGGCTCCCTGCCCATCCATCTCCTGTGCTACTCGTCCCCATCACACCAGTCATTTCTAGTGAAGACATTATGTTATCCTCTGAGACCTCGACACACACCATCATTTCACACATTGTCAGCTGCATCTATTAATTTTCTTACTGTCAGAGACAGTTAAGAGAGCCTTTGTGGAGACATCTGAGGATTTGTAAAAACGGAAGCCTGCTTGTTTAGCTCCCCAACCCGGCTACACATGGGCTTAGGAACTGTGCAATGTTTAAGTACCAGAGTGAGCTCTATGACTTACAGATAATTGAATCCAGGAGGCAAAAAGGCAACTTAGAAAGAGTGTTTTCTCAATGCACTAGTAGTTTCCAATCCACAGAGCATTTGAAGAGCAAACCTAAATCTTTATGTTCTTTCTAGATGTAGGCTATACTTAACCCCTAACAAGTCATAGGTTAGATCAGCCTCTAGACTCCCATGCCCAGCAAAGCAAAAAGGGTTTCTCCATACCTTTAAAGGGTCCTGTCATGATGGGATCAAACAGGAGCCCAGCAGGTCACCTTGTAGCAGGCCAGCCTCTGGGTTTTCAAGCTGAACTGTAGCCCTCAATTCATAGCCACAAACTTTCATCTTCACTTGCTTTTGGCTATGGTCTCAGGACAGAGACTATCAAGATGAGTCCATGACTTCCATGACTGAGAGGATCCTTAGAAACCAACATGTCCTGGTCCTCTGAATCAGCTAGAAGGAACTCAATGCAGGAATCAGAAAAGGCTGCTCAAATGGACTTGAACCATAAAGGTTCAAGTAAAGAGAGAGGTTTTGACCTATCTCTTTAGAAACCCCAGCTTCATTTGCTTGTGATCTTTTGGGCTCATCTGCCCTCTGTGTATTAATCATGTCTTCAGGTCAGCTTCCCTCCTGGTCACAAAATGGTTGCCAACAGCAACCAAGACTCCACACTTCACTTTTTTACATCCAAAGTTGAAAGAGAGTGCCATTTCCCAGATCACTGAACTAAAGCCCTAAGCTTTGTTCTCACTGGACCATTTGTGTGGATTTCCCCGAGTCGGACCAGTCCGGGCCATCTAACCACGAAGCCACCAGGCCTGGGAAAGTGTTCGGTGGAAGTGGCCAATCACTATGTCCATTTCCTCCTGCTTCAGAGGAGGAGGATGCTAAATACTCCCCCCCCCAACCCTTGTCCCCTTATCAACAGCTTTGCCCTCTCCCTTGGAAAGGGTTTCTGAAAGGAACACTTTTTGCAATGTCATTCAATAGAAGCAAAACTTCAGGAGTCCCAGAAATGTCACGAATCATCCATTGCACATCTGAAACTGTGAATCATGAAGTCACTAGCCACTTCAGACACGAGTTCCTCCATCAACTGGAACACAACCAAAAAGCCCTCACAGGTGTGTCTGTAACTTGAGGATAAATCTCTGGCCGTATGTGGCCTCCAGAAGACCCTGTTTTGCTCTGTCCTGGTGCATGTGCTAAGCCAGCCTCGCTCAGCTCAGTCCTTCTGGCATGGAGGCATTCATTCATTGCCTCCAGGTAACCAATCCTTTCTCTCCAAAAGGGTCCAGATGGAGCCCCAGCTCCTGTGCCCTCTCCTCACACGTTCCTCTGAGACACAGATGAGCTTCCCAGGACAGGCTCACAGTCCCTCAGCACCTCCTGCATGAATCCCCAGGCTCCTGCTGGCTTCAACTGCCCACGGCCTTCCCAGGTAGATCTTGCTCACTGGCAGCATCTTCTGGACCAGCTGACCAGGACATAGCTACACAGACCCCATGGCCCAGACAGGAGGACCCCTTCCAGCACACTCAGCTGGCTCCCTATTTCCCCAAGTGCCTCTGCATTTTTTGTGTATAAAGCCCATTTTATACATATACTAACTTCTCCCTGCCTCTCCCAGCCAATCCTGGGAAGAGGGAAAGCAGATACCGCTAGGCTTCTAGAGTAAGAGAGAAACTGAAGTCCAGAAAGCAGGACAGGCAATCCAACACAGGCCAAGAACCAGAGTCAGACCCCAACACCAGGTGGCTCCACAAGGGCCCAAGGCAGCCCCTAGCAGTACTTTTGGATACAAGAATGTAGCAGCCGCAGCCTGGCCCATGCTCTGTTAACCAGAGCTCGAGCCCGAGCATGAGCCAGCCTGAGGCAGCTGCTTCCTACCACATAAGTACGGTCATGTCA